CAGGCGCACCTGTGCACAGGATGCCGGCTTCTGGACACAGCAAAAATGCCTGCCATAGCTAAGAAAATCCATAGAGAGGACCCAGTACATCCTGGGCCACCAGACACACGTGGCGATGGCTGCAGCCCACTGCCACTTCCCCTAGAATAAACATGCACAGAGTACACAGGAAGTGGGGAGGGGTGACAGGCCGCAGGATCAGGCCTAGGCAGTTAGGGTCATTTGTCTCAGGTGTGTGTGGAGGGAGTGGCGGCTAGCACAAGTCCTGTTCCTAGCCCCACCTCACATCTCGGACATCAGACCCAGCCCTTGTAAGCCAATTGTTAGCTCGAGGTTATAGTTCCAGAAATAACAAAATAGACATTACTGTGGTCTCTAAACTTCTCATTTAGAATTTTCTATTCCTTTGGCCTCAACATAAATTTTTCCCTCCAAATATTAACACTAGTTGTCCCATATGGCACTGTTATTGGCCTGAAATGCCCTCTGAATGCCCTTCTCTAACTTTACAAATGATTTCTTTGTTTAAAAGATAGCCTTTATTAAAGAGGCTGCCTGCTGTTAGCTAAAAGACAGGATCCTAACATTTTGTTCTTTCTAGATGGGACCTGCATCTTCCAGTCTTCTGGCTGGTAGATGTTCAAAGCTTTGTACTGAGGTCAGCCTCAGTATGCCTTGGGTGACCAAGAGAAGTGGCCTTCACAGGGTTCCTTAAATTACAATACCATACTCCAATTAGACCTTTTCTATAAAAGTTAAAAAAAGTAAACTGAGGTTCCCTATACAAATTTCTACCTTCTAAGTCACTCCAATACTCAGAACCTCTTAACAAGTGCTTCCCCCTTCAACAGGCAATGGTAGAAAGAGGACAAATCGTATGTCCCCTTCCAGTTACCAGATCTAAGGGAAATTTAAAAACATCTAAACAGCTGTACTGATGCCCAGACAAATACATTCAAGCCTTTATCTCTGTGATCCAAACCTTTCAACTGACATGAAAGGATATTATGCTTCTACTACACCAGACTCTTATTTTATTAGGAAAACAATGGGTTCTGGCCCAGGCCATTCAGGTTGGAGATGATTATGTGGCTCAAGCAGTAGAGTGCCACTTTACAAGCATAAAGTCCTGAGTTCAAGCACCAGTACAGCCAAAGTAAAAAAAAATAATAATTATATTTGGGGCTGAGGAAGTAGCTCAATGGGAGAATGTCTGCCCAGCATGTGCAAAGCCCTGGGTTCAATTCCACAGCATTACTAAAAAAATAAAAAATGGTAAAGAAGATAAGTGGCATTAATATCACTTCAGCCATCTCATAGTGGAAAAACATAGTTTAACCTAGACCAGATCCCTCATTCTTCAAGTGAGGAAACTGAGGCCCAGAACAGTTCAGAGACTTACTCTCCAGAGTGTCAGGTGTCAATGTAAAATAACAACTTTACTTCACAGCCGCAACTTAAAAAAAAAAAAATCCTCTTACAGTATCTTAAGGACATTATCAGAAAGCATACCATGGTGGACTCAGAGTCACAGATGAGAGAGGTTCTCCTCAAAGATAAGTTTCTAACAGTCAGCCCCAGATATTCTTAAAAACTCAGACTGTGGCTGAAGGGAAAAGTCATTGAACCAAGTAATACAGCAGCCATGTCTGTATTTATGGCTATGTTGTATGTCTGGGACCTTACTAACAGGAGAGAAAAAGATAAGAGACACCATGGCCTCATTGCTGCTCTCATAGAGGGCCTCACCTGACTAGGGCCTGTATCCTGAACTTGATACCATGGTGGACAGGAGGGGCACTTCTGCAGAGAATGCTTAAAGGGGGACAGCCGGGGAGACAGCCCAGCCCCCAACCATGACCCTGCCCTCTGCAAGGGTAATCACTGGAGGTCTAAGTGCCCCCGTCACCAGATGGAAGGTGAGGTGCCACCTTCTATAGATTGATGGGTCCAAGCCTCCTGGCCACACTCCACTTCTTGGCATCAATGTTGAGGAGCCATAATGGCAGAAAAACAAAAGGTCATTTTCCTCCTAGACAGTGGAGCCCATTTCTCTGTTTTACCTTTTTCTCCTGGTCCCTGGTCCAATGACAAAAGTTATCATTTGGGGCAAATCTGGCCAGCCCCTAGAACACGCTAGTTTACCTGGCCTCTGGCCTGCTCTTGGGGAGACCTCTTCTTCTGTCACTCTTTCCTCATAGTACCTAAAACACCAGTGTTCCTGCTGGGACAGGATTTACTGTCTCAATTAAAAGCTCAAATTCTCCTCCCCCCAGGCAGCTATCTCTGCTGCCCCCTCCTTCAGGAACAAAGAAGATTCCACAGTGTGGACTGATGAGATTAGTGTAGGGTGAGCCAGGATGGCCCTCCCTATTCAAATAAGACTCAAAAAATCTCTCACAGTTTCCACACCTAAAACAATATCCCCTCAAGCCTGAGGGATGATGAGGCCTCATGCCTATCATAAATTCTTTAAAACAACAAGGGCTACTAATTAGTTGCTCCAGCCCCTACAATAAATTTAAAATTCTTATAAAAGTTAATTTTAAAATACAAGTTACAAAGTAAACAACTGGAAAGGATATAGATAGGTAATAAATATATTTTTTGAGAAATTAAAGGCAAAAGGAATGGTTTTTTGGATGAGAAGGGATTTTGTAAAGAACGATTTGTTCTAAAGATTGTTTCTAATAGGAAGGATAAGGACAAACCATCAAAGGGTTTAGTATGTTGTATGAAGGTCTGAGTAAGTTTGAAAAGTGTATAATAAAGCTTCGGTGTGTGATAAAGTTAAAGTTGAATATAATCTAAGAGTTGCCTAAAAGATTTTTAGGGTCATGTCAAACTAAAATCAAATCTCTATGTCTATGAAATAACAAGGTTATCTTAATATTGTTCTGCTCTGAGTAACATCTACAAAAAACCATTACAGAGAAAGATTTTATCAAAGAAATTATTTGTGTTTTCTGCTGATCTTGTCAAGCTTTAAGTACTACTAAATCAGAGTTCATTTACATATTTGCTTATGTGTCTTAAATGACCACCTTGTAACAGTGTTATCTAAATATGGTACAAACATTTAAAAGGATAAAAGTATGAATTTATATAAAATAATGAGCTAAAGCTCTCTTTTATCCAAGAGTGTTACATTTAAATCCTGACAGCCCCTGCCTCCCACAGGTCACCTACCTAGGTGTGGCCTTAAAGGGACAGACTCACTCCCTGAATCATAAATGCATCAACCCAATCTTCCGTTTCCCAACCCCCATACCATAAGACAGCTTACAGCTTTCCTGACAGTTACAGGATTTTTCAGAATTCAGATCCCTAGGTATGTAGTCCCTGAACAGACACCTTTTTATGATCCTCCTAATATTCCTATTTGGGTCTTAGATAATGTATGGCCACCCATTTCTCTCTCTGTAGTTGGAGGACTCTTGAAATTGTCTAGGGAACATTTCACAGTGGTTCTCCTGGCCAATGCCGTCCTAATGCCTGTGTTCTTGCTCTCCTATTCTTAAGCTTCCTTCCTTGTATCACACTGCATGTCTGCTATTGCTAATCAAAAATGTAACCAGTTGTACCTCCAGAGATACCAACCTCTCCAAAATGCGAGGATAGTTGGCTGATACCCACCATGCAGAGGTCGGATTATTGGCTCGAGACTCTTTATGACCTATGGCTACAAGGGTCCTTCATCAACTTCAGGGAAGAAGAAATCTTCATTTTCAGCCCTGGGTATATGCCATCACAAGGTTCACCACCACAACATTGTTTGCCAACTAACCCTCCCTTCCCCTACGCTGCCCCTTGCCAGCTCGAAGAAGCTAGAGCGAACACAACGCCCCTTCCTTAACAAACAAAAAAGGGAGGAATGTTGGCAATAATGGCACCAATAGGTTTCGGTTCTTACTACACCCTTAAGCTTCTGTTTTCTAGGGTCACGGTCCTGCCTCAAGTCTAGCTTGAATTCTCCTTCTGCCCCAACCTCCAATCAGCATGAACCATAAGATCCTAACCAATCAGATCATGCCAAGTTTCACTGAGGGGCATTTAAGCCCCTGCCCCCCCCCCCTCAGCTCTTTCCCTCTCTCACCCAGCAATAAAGAATTTCTTGGCCAGATCACTCCTCTCCACCTTGGTCACTTTGGGGCCTACATTTGCCTACAGTGGTGGTGGGGGTCTCTCCTGGAAAACAGACTCCACTGGAGAGCCGGATGCTCACGGTCACGTTCCTAGGCAGCCTTTCTCAGTTTGGCACAACGTCTACCGACCTCAGGTGACAGCAGGTCCCTTCATTTGTTGCCAAATATGATGCACGGATGACACACGCAGGAATTTCAGGTGCTCAGGGTTCTTGAGCCTGCTCTGAGAATGAAAGCACAGGCAGACTCCAACAGCAGAGGTTAGAAAGTTTTTATTTGTAGAGAAGAGAAGAGAAAGACAGCATAGAGGAGAATGCAGGGGGACCAGGAAACTGGGGATCCCATGGGTCAGAGTGGGGAGTGGGGTTTTATAGCCTTTTTTTGTATTGCCTGAGGGCAGAGATGCCTTTCAGATGCAGAGGTGCATTCCCTAGGGAGGAGGGGTGTCTCCTTTACCACTTATCACCTTTTGGGACCTCCTGCAGTTGGTCCTTCACTATTCTGGCTGTTTCTTCTCCGTGTGTCCGCAGGGCTCGGTTTTAACCTCTAGCAATGACTTCCTTTGGCCTGCAGTTGGCGGTCCATTTATTCCCTGCAGGAACCCACCTCTCTGGGTGTCTGCTCACAGTGCCTTGGCCCAGAAAACAATTCCGTGGCCTTGAGGCGGCTCTGGAAACCAGGAGACTAATGCATGCGCTCTGGACACCATGCACGGCCGCGCCCGCCCAGCGGAAACGCACTTGAGCGCACCACGGGGGCGAAGCGGCGGTGGCTAGGGAGGCGGGCCTCCGGGGCGCGCACCCAAGCGGCTAGGGAGAGCTGCTGGAGAGTGGATAGGAAGGCATGTCGCAGAGGTTGGAGGAGGATACTAGAGAGTTGCGTCTGAAGGAATACCGGGAAGGGGGAGCGGGAAGGGCGGGCCATAAGCCGCAGGCCCTGTGGCCATTTTAGGAGGAAACCCGTACCGCTGGCCCGGGGCGTGGCTTCAATTTCAACAACTTTATTGGTGGCCTTTTTCACAGAACAGCCATCGCTCCTGTGTCCCCAGGAGCTGGGAGTGCGTTGGCGGAGGTGAGGCGGGTGCGGGCGTCCCAGGCGGTGGTCGCGGAGTACCGGGATCCCCCGAGTGGGCATCCCTAACGGGGCGGTCAAAATGCTGGGTACTGACGGGCGCCCCTGTGGGCCATGAGGGAGGGAAGGAAGAGGGGAGGGGACTTAGGGCGCGGCTGCTTGGGGCTGGGATTCCCTGTCTGACGCAGCCGCTTAGTCCCCGCCTTGTGTCATTCCGGTGCAGGTGGCCCGGGAGCTGAGCTGCCGCCATGGGAAACACCACGAGTGAGCGCGTGTCCGGGGAGCGCCACAGCGCCAAGGCTGCCCGCGCTGAGGGCGCCGGTGGCCATGCAGCCAGCAAAGAGCACAAGATCATGGTGGGGAGCAGCGACGACCCCAGTGTCTTTAGTCTGCCCGACGCCCGGGTAAGGCCCCTACATCGCGACAGGGCCGCCGCACTGCGCTTGTGTCCCGGCGCCAAAGATGGGGTACTCTCCCTGAACCGCCTTAAAGGAGGTTTCCGGAGCGGAGGTGTCAGAGCCCTCTACCAGTGCCGCCTCAAAATAGGACCAAGAGGCGTGGTTCTTGCTTTTCCAGGGCTCTGATTCCTTGCCGGCCACAGTTGAGGACAGGTACGATGGACCTGCCCCGTTGCTGGCCCGTCTTCGATTCTCACATGCAGGGCGCCCTCTGCAACCATGGGTCAGTTCCTCACCTCTGCCTCAGGTGGCTTCGTGCATGTTTTTGCTAACAGTGTCTTACCTGTGCACCATATTTGATCTTCCAGGACCCCTGCACTTGGATCCTCCTCCCCTTTGGCTTGCCTCTGAGCAAGCCAAATATTCTTGTGTCTATTCTTGAGATTGGATAAGGGGCATCATTGGGCTCAGTGTTATTAGTCCCATACTTTGTAGTTGTGTCTGAAACTGCTGCCGTATTGTCCATCTGAACCACAAGTGGGACAACCAGTGCTTTCCAGATTTCCCATCTCCCCATGGTATCTCAACATGTGGCCTGGGGCTCAAAAAGAAAGATGAGGCAACTTGTGTTGGTACTAAAGAAAAGGGAGATGGCCTCACAGCAGTGTTATTGCCATCGTCATGTTTCTAACCACTTTTAGAACTCCCTGCATTAAAACATGTACTTCCTCCAAGTAGCCTGTCTGGGTTAAATAGAAAAATGGAGCAATGGAGGAGATTGGGGTGTGTTTGATGTTTCTTCTCATTCCACCACTTTCCACTGGACTAAGCATAGATTTTATTGGACACATTGGTAGCATATGACATTTGGATTCTATGTTTTGAAATTTTCTTGGATTCCAATTGAGAATATCATCACAGGGAGAAGTGAGCAATTAAAAGTTATTTCTTCGGGTTTCTTTTTCATTCTTTTGTTTCCTGTCTACTTCTGAAGTGATCGTCATCTGACCTGTCTACATCCAGCAGTCTGAATTTGCTTCTTCAAAGCTTTTTCCTGGTGATTGGCCTCCTTGAATTCTTGCCCTATTTCTACTTTGATGACTCAGAATTTAAGTAGTCAAAATGTGACTTCAGTAATTGTTGCTCTGAATAAAGCCAGGATGCTCAGTGTGAGTTGTCACCTATCTTAGATCATTCTTTCCCTCATGTCCACCTTGCCATGTGTAAGATAAGAAAATTGTCTCAGGTAATTCCTAAAGTCTCATCCAAGTCTAAAGCTTTATAGTTTTCAATCAGCACTCTTCCTCTCTCCACGTTTTACCTAACCTTCTTCAAACTACAATTGGAAATGTCATTCTGCCTCTTTGCCAGGTGGTTTTGCTGAGGGTTTAACTTGTGATAAACATTCTTCAAGGTAGTCAGCTGCAGTCATCCCCACCTCAGAAATACCATGTTGTGAGGGAGGTTGGTGGTGGGAGGTTTGTTGCAATGCTAGATGTGTTGATAGTTTGTCACTTTCAAATCCTGAACTGAGAATCTTTTCATAAAAGTAATTGATAGAAACTGTGACACTGGGGCCTGCATTGCTTCCATGCCAGCCTTTTGTCAGCAGACTAATTCAATGATTCTCAGTACTGTTTGTCTCTTAGAATTACCCAAGATTTGTTTACTTTATGGAAAATTGGAAACATGTATAAAGTAGGGAGTTCAGTATAATGAACTCCATATACCTATTTCCCAGAGGTCAAATTGTGAATGAACTCAAACCACTCTCCCCTCCACCAGTTATTTTGAAGCAAATTCCTTATATCATAAGAAATAGTATCTAACATTTTAGGATGTACATCAAAAGATGAAGGTTTTTTCCTTTGCTTATATGAAAATAATAACAATACCTGGGAAACTTTAAAAAACAAACAGATTTGTAGATCCTATATCTGAATCAGAATCAGAATCCTATAATTCTAATGCAGTTAGAATAGTGCATTGTTGTGAGAATAGGGAGACCGAGGTTTCATTAAGCCTATGTAATGTGAAAACCCTTAATCTTTTTTCCGTTTACTTTTGCTTATGCTCCTCTTTTCTCATAGTGTAGTTTTAAGGAATATCAAGAGACAGTATGGAAAGCTGACTTTTATTTTTGGGGAAAACCCCCAAAACTTGAATGAGCTAGGCCTTTTTTTTTTTTTTTTTAGTCCACCTCATTTCGGTTTATATTTGTTTCTTTGGTACTGGGATTTGAACTCAGGGCCTATACCTTGATCTACTCCACCAGTCCTTCTTTTTTTTTTTTTTTTTTTTGAAATAGGGTCTCATGAGCTGTTTGCCAAGGGTGGCTTTGAACTTTGATCCCCCTGATCTCTGCCTCCTGAGTAGCTCAGATTATGGGCTGATGCCACTGGCACCCAGCTTATTTATTTTTTTTAAGACAGGATCTTGCTTTGTAGCCCAGGCTGGCCTTGAACTTGAGATCCTCTTCTCTCAGCCCCCCCCCACCCCCCCATGCTGGAATTCTCAAACTTGTGTTGCCAGGCTCTGCTTATATGGTATTTTTATTTTTATTTTTTTGGTGCTATGGGGCTTTGAACTCAGGGCATTGTGCTTGCTAGACAGCTGCTCTACCACGTGAGCTGCACCCTAGCCCTTTTTTACTTTAGTTATTTTTTTGAATGATAATCCTCCTATTTACCCCTTGTGCTTACGTGGGAGGATAGGGTGTACCACTATGCCCAGGTTATAAGTAGGGTCTTAAATCCACCCCCTCCCCCCATTTCCCTGTCTTGAACCTTGATCTTCCTCATCTGTACCCTTCAGTAGCTGGATTACAGGCATGAGTCATCATACCCAGACTCTTAATATTTTGAGTTAGTAATGTACAGTTTTATTTACCTGTTTGCCATTCAGTTATGTTATTCTAAAGTAGGGATTAATATACTTTTCCTATAAAGCTTTAGAGAGCAATGTTTTAGACTGTAGATCATCTAGTCTCTGTTTCAACTATTCTTTTCTGCCTCTCTAGTGGTAAAGCAGCAGAAAATAACAGTAAAAATGAGTATAGCTGTTTTCCAATGAAAACTATGAAAGAATCTGGGCTCACTGACTGTAGTTTTCCAACTCCTGGCCTAAAAGATGGTAATAAGGAGAAACTAAGGAGTTCAGTCTTTTCAGAATCCTGTGAACCTCATTTGATTATGCACTGCTTTTGTTAAGGAAGCTGTGTTGCTCCTTGAAACTCCAAAATTTGCATCCTATTCCTGAAATAACTTGTATAAGCCTGGAGTAAGTGAGCAAGTAATATTTCCTAAACATGTCTCCAATTTTCGTGAGTCAATCATGTGGATTTTAGTATTTATTTATTGTGCTGGGGATCAAACTCAGGGTCTCACATGTGCTAGGCAAGTACTCTACCAATGACTACTTATCCAGCTCTTACTGGGGGTTTGAACTCAGGGCTTCAGGATTACAAAGCAGGTACTTTACTGTTGAGCCACACCTCCAGCCACAGCCCTTAGTTTTTAAATTTTTAATGTCCCTTTATGTAATCTGTAAGCTAAAATAGTGTTTATGAATTACTTAGGAATTCTGGTATTTGTAACTTTCATCCCAACTCATAATTGAAGCCTATTTATATTTGCTTATGAAAAATGTATACCTGACTTTAATTTCTTAAGAGAACCACACTTTGTTTTCACCTTTTTTTGAGATGGACTTGGATGTTTGTTGTAATTGTCTGCCTGTGGGTTAAACTGGCAGAAGGGAGTAGAGTGATCCGAAGGCTCTGGACTGGCAGTGATGTGTGCAGACTCAAGTTGGCATGTGATTTTGACAGCACTTGAGCATGAGCCATTTGACCTTTTTTAGAGCTATATTAGCTCTAGTCCTATAATTTGTTCAAGTTATGATTCAGGTACTAATTTTAAAGCTTATATAGTAGGGCAAAGCCTAGCACCCCTCTCTACCCTAGGGAGTTGAGTGACATTTTAAGAATTCCTGGGTCACAATTTATTCTAGGATGACCTACTGCTTCTTACAGCTCCCTGGGGACAAAGAGTTTGTATCCTGGCAGCAGGATTTGGACGACCCTGTAAAGCCCACACAGCAGGCCCGTCCCACGGTTATCCGCTGGTCTGAAGGAGGCAAAGAGGTCTTCATCTCTGGGTCCTTCAACAATTGGAGCACCAAGATTCCACTGATCAAGAGGTGAAGACAAGTGTCTTAGTTGAGTCTACAGGGTCCAGGAATAGACCTGATCCTGTCTTAGAAGACAGACAGCCCCTGTGGGCACCTTCTTTAAAATGGCGTCAAACAGTCTTTTCTGTGCTTAGAGGAAGTTGTCTACAACTGGCTGAGTCCTGTTGCTCTGACTTCTGCATTAAAGAAAAACATGTTGTGAAGTTGCAGGTAGTAAATGTTATTGCTTCCAATATGGAAAGAGTACCTTGCAGTACTTTGTTTGTTTATTTTTGTGGTATTGGGAATTGAACTTAGGGCCTTGTACTTGCTAGCAAGCACTCTACCACTTGAGCTATGCCCCCAGCTACCTTGCAGTACTTCTGTGTGCTGGACCTATCTGTTACCTTATTTGTACTTGTGAGGAATCTCTTCTGTTAGAGCAAAACAGTTGTACTAAAATGAACCATTTTTGGGGAATCAATGACTTTGTTATGTTTTTCTCAGATATTGGTTAAGAACTAAAGTTATTGAGAGGAGTTGGCAAATGCCTGTTTAAGGTGGTACAAAAAAGGAGAATGGATTTATAGGTTATTTTTGTATGAGGGATAGAGTGGCTTAGAAGTGTGGGAAGTCATTGGTATGATATTGTGATTGCTACTTGTTTTTTACATTGTTTTTCTAAAAGGAATTGACTTGTTTGAGCTTCTGTTTTCTTCTGTAGCCATAATGACTTTGTTGCCATCCTTGACCTCCCTGAGGGAGAGCACCAATACAAGTTCTTTGTGGATGGACAGTGGGTTCATGATCCATCAGAGGTAAGGCTTTGATGTCAGGGAGAGCCATTGGCTTAGTATCCTTTTTTTGTCTGCTATTACTGTCAGGATTGATCTGCAACAGCTCTCCTATGCTAGAGGATTTCTCTCTATATATAAAAGATGGAGGTGTTTAGTATAATCCATTTTAACTTTTAGTAAAAGTAGAGGGGAGGTTGGCTGGAAAAGATGGATTTGAAAAGGGGCTTCAGTAATGTTTCTGTTCCATTTCAGCCTGTGATTACCAGTCAGCTCGGCACAATTAATAATTTGATCCATGTGAAAAAATCTGATTTTGAAGTGTTTGATGCTTTAAAGCTAGATTCTATGGAAAGCTCTGAGACATCTTGTCGAGGTAATTTTGCAGTATTTGCTCTCTCTTTCTGTGTCTTTCTTGAAATGCATATTTCTTCCCCAAATTGTGTTTTGTTGTGTTTTTTTTTTTTCCATTTCTTTTCAGGAATCTTCTGAATTCACACACACACACAAGCACAATTCTTCTGTATATGATTTAATTTTGTGTTTAATTAGAAAATGTCCTTGGTGAGGAAAGGACCTATACAGTTTTGATTTCTGTAATATTATTTTTCCAAGGCCTTCATCTCTACTTACATTTACTCTAATACCAGGAGAGTGTTTTACAAATCACATTCAGAGTTACTGTTTTTGTTACTTTACAGTAAGAGCTGTGCCTGTCTAAAGAACTCTGCACTATTTCCCCTGAGCACACTGCTCTCTCTCCTGAGAATTCAGAACTGACAAGTTTTGCCAACATGGACAAGTTCCCCAACAATAACATCATAATTCTCAGCAATTATAGTACTTTAAGTACATTAAGTGAGCATTTAGAATCCAGTTTCAAGAAGAGTAACATATAGTATAATCATTGTCTATTCAGGAAAATGATTGCTTTCATTATAAAAGCTTAGAAAGTTGCATTGGATATTCTTATTCACTGTTGGGGCAATGAATTATAAGAATTTAAAAATACTGAATTCAAATACAAGGCCACTTACAACTGAGTTTTGTCATTACATAATTCTGGCAAATTAATTGATGAATATTTGACAGGCAATCATAATCATGTAGTGAGAAAACTAGTACACTTTTGATATTTCTCTTTCCCTTTTACCTAATTTCCCAATCCACTGACGCAAGGCTGAATTAGAGTCTGCTTTATTAGAAATGTACAGATAATGTGTACATTAATTAATATGCATTCATGTAACATCTAGTCACATAACCAATTTGTATTTGTTTTAATGGATGTAGAGGTTCTGTTTTTTTTTGTGGTACTGGGGTTTGAACTCAGGGCCTCATGCTTGCTAGGCAGGCTCTCTACCACTTGAGCCATTCCACCAGCTCTTGTTTTAATGGAACGGTCCTGAGCACTTCCTAATGGTATTTGTATGTCACATGACAACATAGGTGAAAGTGCTTTGAAAAATTTCAAGTTCTATAGATTTTTAACATGTTGTTTAATAACAGTATTACTGCTTCATTCTTCTGCTTCACATTTAATTGGAATGAGCTATTGGAATTAACTACTTACTTAAATCTTTTTCTGTTGGAAACTATAAAACTATTAATTTTTAAAAGAAAAAATCATTTCCATTCATTTTTATATCTTTCCTTCTGTTCTTGTCTATACATTTTTTCTTTTTCTCTGAAGTATAATTAACATACCATAAAATTCACCCATTTAAATTGTAGTGTTATTTTAGTATATTCAGAGTTGTGAAACAATTACCACAATCTTAATTCCAGAGCATTTTTATCACCCCAAAAGACACCCGATACCACTAGCATGTTACCACTCCTTCTTCTCCTCTTCTTCTGTCAACTACAAATCTTTTTATCTTCATGGATTTGTCTATTTTGGACATTTCATATAAAGATGTAAATTATATAATGAATGGTCTATTGTTTTCAGGATTCATCCATGTTGTAACATTCTGAGTATTTTGCTTCTACTTATAACTGAATAAAATTCCATGCCATTTTGTTATCCATTCATTGTTGATAGACATTTGGATTGTTTCCACTTTTGGCTATTGTGAATACTGCTGTTATGAACATTGCTGTGTATCTTAGCTGTAACTTTGTTTAACTGCTTAAGGTACTACCAACTGTTTTCCAAAGTGGCTGTACTATTTTACATTCCCACTAACAATTGGTACTGCAATGAAAGTTCCAATTCCTTCACATTTTTGTCAATACTTGTTAGTCTATCATTTTGATACAGGAATCCTAGTGAGTGTGAAGTGTATCTTATAGTGGTTTTGATTTGTATCTTCTTAATGACAATTACATACACTTTGTCCTTATTGCTACAGTCATTTTAGTATAAGTAATCTTGCAGTCATTAACCTTGTTATCTATTGCTTGAGTAGAGAAAAAGAGGAGGAAATCTAATCTTTTCACATTGTTTGAGAGTGTACAAGGCATCTTCACATCCACTCTTTCTCTGATTTTCCCAAAAGTATTGTGAATTAAGGTAAGGATTATTATTTTAAATTTATAGATGATGAAACTGACCTTGGTAAAGGGCTCTATCCAAGGTCACGCAGCTGATAAATGGAGCTGAAGTCTTCAACCCCTCATCTCCTCATGATTTTATGTGTTTAGGTTGAGGAGTTGCCTGGCTAAGGAGTCTGATGACTCAGACTTTCCTTTTGCTCTCTTATGTCACAGACCCATTAGGTAACAAGTTTGTGATCCATGACTTCTGTATTTAATGTTAGGGGCCATACACTGACATATTTTTTCCATGAATTCTTATTAATTCTCCAACTTTCCTCCACATTTGCTTAAATACCTTTCAGACCTTTCCAGCTCACCTCCAGGGCCTTATGGTCAAGAAATGTATGTATTTCGATCTGAGGAGAGATTTAAACCTCCACCCATCCTTCCGCCTCACCTTCTCCAAGTTATTCTTAACAAGGACACTAATATTTCTGTGAGTATCCTGAGAATACTGATAGAGCATCTGGAGGTCTGTAGCAACATTTGGATCAAAATTTAGTATACTTTTGGTTGGGATTTATTACAAAGGTGTGCTGAGATTATAAATCATATGCAGATAAATATCAATATAGATATCCTTTTTACAAGACTGAATTGTGGGCTTCTTTAGGTACTGATATAAAAATTTATAGTTGTCTCTGTTCCTAATAAAATCAGAACCAAATATGGTAGGACCAATTTCTAGGACTTCAGTTCCAACACAAGATAAGGAGTATTTATCATTTGGGAACATAAAAAAGATTTGCAATTTTTTTGTAAATAATTTACATGCCCACTGAGATTATTATGCCCACTTGTTGTAGGCAAGATTTTTGTTTTAACTCTCTTAAGGAAGATTAGCAGATGTTCAGGCTTAGGTTTTCTGCCCTGGACTAGAATTTTTCCAAGTTTTCTGTAATGGGAATGTCTTATTGATGTATACTGGGTTGGTTCATGATTTCCAGGACATAAAGTGTCCAGTTTAGAGTTCTTAAAAGTCTCAAAAAGCTCTTGGTAGGTTAGGCTGTTTGTGCATTTAATGTGTATATATGTCTGCATTTAATCCCACTTTTTTTCTTAGTGTGACCCAGCTTTACTTCCTGAGCCCAACCATGTTATGCTGAACCACCTCTATGCATTGTCCATTAAGGTAAGTGGTGACCCTGGTTCTTCACAGCTCCCCAGAGATGAGAGGGTAAGGGTAACACATGTTCTCCAGTGGTTATTTGCTCTGCTACTGTATCAAATCTGAAACTGACAGTAATTGTCGAACAGAAGAACTTTCTTGATTTAGCTAATAGGTTGTTTGTTTTCAAATCTCTACCTCTGTAATCTGTGTTCTGGCTAGCTGATTATACAGTGATTGAGTGAACTTTTTTGCTTCCCAGTTTCTCTTTGAATGAGCAGAACCTTTCTACTACCTGCTTACTGAAATGTGAGTTCATAGCAGTAGTATTTCATTTGTAAAAAAATCAGGAGCTTCTAGTTCAACAAATGCTTGAATATGATAGTAAGACTTCTACTTTTAAATATGGAATTGAGCTATTTTCATGTACCATAGTCATGTATGCCCAAGTGATTGCATGTCCTGTATAGTAGGTAAAGGAAAAATGTGACCAGATTTGTCCTGCCCTCTTTATTCCGGAGTCCTCCTTAGTTTCTCTGTTGCTTTAGTCTGGGTTGAAAATATCTTTTCTGTTCTGTCTTACTCTGTCTTAGGGTTGGACTACTAGGGGTTTGGTTGTCAAACTAGGATATCATTATCAGAATCCCCTGAGGAAGTTGGTAAGCATACAGATTCAGTGGCTCCATCTCAAATAGGTGCATTTAGGATGAGCCACTAACTGCTTTTATTTCTCAGCTGTGTAGCTAGATTAGGGAAATCACTGATTGACTTTAATAGATTATATGGTAATATATAAAATTTTTAAATATATTATTGAGTTTCATTTGTATGATAACCTTGTGAGGTAGGTATTATTTTTAACCCCTGTTTTATAGATAAAGAGACTAAGACTCAGAGAAGGTCAGATTGCCAATAAGTACCAGAGATAGGACTGAGGTCTAGTCCGTTCTAATTCCATATACTTCCTATATGTCATTGTGCCAGGTCTTTCCAAGTAGGTCTTTTTCTGCTCAGCTCCTCATTTTTACAATGCTCCAAGAATTGAATTTTTACCTGCCTCATTTTTCCCATGTGTCAGCCCCAGCTAGATATATTTTCTCTAGCTGTTAGGCTGTGTTTCAGCATACTCTGATCATTGAAAGTTAGCCTGAGACACATATGATCATTGTGGCTAATACAGGATGAAGGAAGGTAGGCTACTTTGGTTCCTATGTTGGATTTGCAATTCTTTGATATCTTTGGTATTGAATTGTGCCTTCTATAACTGGTCCTTGACTGTTGGTTGATATCACAGACCTGCCATCTCCTCCTGTAGCACACCCATCGTCTTTAACACAGTCTGGAAAATGGTACCTCTTACTCCTTTCTTACTGGTTCTGAGCTGAGTGAAGGTCCTAATTATTGTTGTCCAGCTTTGACTTGGTCCATCAGATTGAATGTCTTTCTAAGAAGGATGGAGAGGGATTCCTCAGTTCCCTCCAGATCAGAAGACTTTTTGAGTTCATCCCTGGTATCAATGGAAATTAAAGCTGCTTCAGGGCTTGGAAACAGTTTTCCAGAAGGATCATTTCTCTTTTCATTGTGTTTAAGATTTCCTTCCAGAAATGGACACTAGCATATTTCTTTCTGTTTTCTTTGCTTGTTTTAAGTCTATATTAGGATTTGAAGTAAGGAAGGAAGCAAAGTAGGAAACTTTGTTATACGTCAGGTGCTGTATATTCTCCCATAATCATCAGAACTACTTTACAATTATAGGTATTATGTTTTGTATGAAGAGGGAGAAACAAGTTTTGCAACCTTGACACAGATTATCAAGGCCAAATACAATAACAATAGGAATTAGGATTAAAACTAAAGTTGATTTGACCCCAAAATCAACCTGTTTTTATTATATCAAATTATTGCTGTTAAAAGTGAGTGACCGTGAAGGACTGATGGCTGGGAAGAGCTGCCTACTACCTAAACTAATGAATTCGCTGCATATGCTTCTTTCCCTGACAGGACAGTGTGATGGTTCTTAGTGCAACTCATCGCTACAAGAAGAAGTATGTCACTACGCTGCTGTACAAGCCCATCTGAAAACACCCCTTGTCTCTGAGGATTCAGAAGTGTCTCCCTTGCCTTTTAACTGAACCAGTCTAGATCTCTGAGATTGGAAGACTCATTTGCTTTGAGGCTGATATGTGTGTTTCAGAGCCTCTGAGTAGGATGCTCTGCTTTTGCATTTGATTGCAGATGAGAGCTTTATGAGTTTATGAAATTTATTTTAAGAAAAAAATATATAAATACATATATACATATGAGAGGAAGGTTACAGAAGTCTCCTAGCCTGGGAATACTTGCCAAGACCTGTTGGGGGAGCTGCAGGGATAAGTATACAGGAAGCTTTTTTTTTCCTAAAATGGAAGAATAGCAAACTCTTAGGATCCCTGCTGGGCGGAGACTCTGTCACTACCTTGGGTGTCCAAGGGATGAATTTGTGCTAAACCGCTGCCCTACTTACAGCCTCCTCAGTGTGGGGTTGGCTTTTCTTGCATGTGTTCTTTGTATTCCCACAGTATGTGACACAGTCTGTTTTTTATGATACCAGATGCTCTACAAGAACCCTTTTTCTCTCGTCTCATATTCATCCTTTAATAGCCTCCTTCAGAACTCAGACTTGATTCCTCTAATGCAGAATTCATTGAGTAAGTGGACCCTTTTAAAAAGTTGTGTGGGACCTGACCTACCTTAGAGACTAGGATGGCAGAGGTCTCTGTCTTAACCCACTAAAGGCCCAGGCCACTTTGTTGCCACTTGGGTTAACTTCTAAAGAAAATATGGCTCACCATTTTTTTTTTTTTTAAATGCAGACTACTTTTCATTTCAGTTTAGAGCCATAGCTTGACCGTGTGGCACATTCCTTCATGTCTTTCTACTTGACCTGTCCTTGCTTCTAGCTTTTCTTTATCAGAGCAGACAGGTTTGCATATAGGCATGGAACCTGGGAAATCTTCCATGACTTTCAGTCCTGAAAGATACTCTTTGTGCCTGTATTTTCTTTAATTAAAGTATGCCTTTTCTTTGTCTAAGAGACCGTATTGAAGAAGTTTAGGCTTTTAATAAGTGGTTCTTAAGATTTTCTTCTGTAATCTAGGGAAGTCTACAATCTTACCTGTCTATGGCCAAGAACTGCTCTACATACAATTCATTAGGGCTGTTTGGTGCACATAATGGGTCCCCTTAAAAGGCCAAGAAGCAACAAAGTATCCTTGTTTTTCATAACCATGAAAAGTATTGATCTTTGCACTAAATGTTCTTTCTGCCTTTCCTTTTTAAATGTTTGATGATCAAGTGGGGTCACAGGCTTCCATTTATTTTCTGAAAATATTTAATATACCCTTGGGGTTCAGAGATAAAGCTTTTGTCCCCCAAGTATCTTGACTCTTCCATTTTACAGATAAATACAAGTCATACATTCAACATGGAAGGAATCCAAACTGTTGATGGCTGAGCAACCCCTTGATTGCTAAGATGAGCCCAGCCACACTGAAAGGGGACCTACAGGTCAGTTTAGCTACCTCCTGTCTTTCCCATACAAATGTGGAATGCAGTTCTCTTTGAGTATGTAGACCTCTTTGATCCCAGGTATGAGGCAGAAAGGAGTTGTTCTGTAAGTAATGCAAATTACTAAGTGCTTTGGTGGCTAATTGGTAATAGTAAATACTGCTTTAGCCACCCTTCTTCTGCACCTTCTGTAGAAGAACACTTTTGTGGAAAACTTTAATGGTCCAAACCACTTTTTGAATGGTGTGCCATTTTAAAACTCCAGGCCAAATCCTATTATAATCAACTCTCAGGATCTACATAGTCTTCAGTTGTACTGGAAGTTTGTTTTTATCCAATGCCCATTAGATAAATGTATTACCTGGGATGATTAAAAATCTTGGTTGTTAGTGGAAGATTTTGTTGTACTCACATTGCCTGTTGCCACTATTGAAATGTAATTATCTATATGTCATTTATTAAAACTTTTACTCCACAAAAGTTTATCAGTGGAGTGAGTAGGAAAAAAGCTCTTTTTGAGGCTTCTCAGGCCAGAGGCTTATGTGAATTTGGTCTGATTGCAATGACAGTGGATTTTGGTGATCCTCAGATCTTTCTAGTCTAGGAATGTGCAGAGAGGGTCAGTTTCCCACATTCTGAGCCATATGTGAAATGGGCACCTAACAGCTGGTGTGGAAGGGGATGGTTAGAGGAACTGGCTATGACTCATTCAGCATTGTCCCTCTTCTATCCTGCTAATTCTAGGCCCTGAGAAGATCTATCCCAGTTGGTCCCCAGGAAACGGGGTAGAGAGGATGGGAAGAAGATAGCCCAAACACAACTCATTTGTCCTTTTATTCTGGTTAGTTTGGGGGATAGTTTATTTTCTGAAGAAGAGAGTCTTGAAACTGAATAAAGGCAAAACCAAAATACTTTAACCTTTTTTGTTTTGGAGGGGGGCATATAGGAATTTTGCAGAGCCAAAGAAAACAGTGGCTCTTAAGGAAGGCTAACCCTTCACTGCAATATGGATTTGGGGTTGTAGGAAAAAATAAGAGTGACTTGACTGAGAAGTGGTATTAGGAAACTACACTTTATCTTAGCCAAAAGACTGAGAAGCAATGACACTAGGAAAATAAAGGCTAAATTAACTTAGAACTGAAAATATCTTTTTAAAAAAAGATTAAAATATGACATAACCTGGTAATATCTTGGGGCTTCATTGTACAAAACTTAGCAGTCTGTAAAATGTTTTCCCTTTGCCTCCTGTTGTTCCTATCTCTATCTTTTTCTTTGTATTCTGTTTTAATTTTGTCAGGCAGATTTTAGCAGGGTCTCAAGTCAAACATCTCACTGGTATGGAGAACTTCCATTCCATACCATGGTTGTTAGCTTTCTTTAAGCTTCGACTTGAATAGGATTTAACCAGTGTGGGCAGCACCTCTGCAGGCCATACCTAGACTCAACATTGTTGGCTTTTTAAACATATGCTTGTATGATAGAGAAACGCTATAAAAGAAGAATCCAAGAGAAGTTTTCTGGGAGGATCCCACAAACCAGCCCCACTCACTTCTAATTAATTTTAGTCTTTTATAGATCTAATGGATCTGAGATAAAACCTTTGAAAAGTGTCATTATTCCATGTGTGCTACTAAAGTGAAGTGAAGTTTAGAAAGAAGTGGTTCCTCCAGACTGGGTTTATATTGATCTGGGATACAAATAAAGAAGAAATACTGATGGATTTCCCTACTGTTAATTGGGAAATAGGGCTTAAAATTTTTGACCTCACATAAAAATGATATGCAATTGTCTATGTTTGTATGTGTTTGAAATATATTCTATTCTCAGAGATTTCTGTATCCTCACATGGTTTGGGGCATGGGCTTAAGAACAGATATACAGTTTGTTCCTACATTATTCTGACTCATCCTCAAAGCCAAGTTCTTGCTGTCTTCTACCAGGGGCTGCTGACTCCAGTTACCCATGGGGTGGAAGACCTGATGGGGTAAGGGTCTTTCACAACTTTATGAGTCTAGGCATTTTTCTCTCATTAAGTGCCAGTTACAACTGGAGATTTGAAGGACTGTGATTTCTGCAATGAATCTAATAAACTTTTGGAGTGAAGAGTCAAATCTTTTAATTATAAGAAAAAAAGAAGAAAGAAAAGCTCACATCTGTTGCTTGTAGAATTCAGTTATTAGCAATGGAATCCCTTCAAGATTCTGATTTGGGCTTTGTCTTGATTTGGTTTTTTTTTTTTCCCTCTAGTGCTTTGGAGTTAATAAACTTCATTAAAAATTGTTTAATTAGTTCCAACATTACTTGGAGATGACCGGAATTAATTGTGTGTAGCACAGTATTTTTGCTGCAGCATTGGTGTAAAATAGTGAATACTATGGATTTTGTAGGTGTCAGGTTAAATGGTTAAGAGATACCTACGTTAAATATTTTATTAGGTATTGATCATCTTCTGTTCCCCTCCAGAGCACCCTACCCAGCTTGTGGTTTTAGGACTGCCAAAGATCATTGTTGATTTGTCCTAATCCCAAATATGAGACTTGTTTGAATTTTGGTAAATTAGAGGACATTGTTTGATATTACACTGAAGCATTTTGAATGGTTTTAGCTCTGAATTGGTCATAAAGGGAGGATAAAGCTATAATTTGAAAGGAATTAAGTATGTGAAAGTCCTTTAAATGGTGCTTTTTGTAATCTTTAATGCTGAGGTATGGAGCTGCTATTCAGTATTTCACAAAGGAGTGGCATACAACTATGGATTTTAAAGTTTTTCTCCAAATGTTGTTTGTCATTGGATTCTGACATGCTAGAAAATTATATGCTGTAACACAGAACTGGGGGGGGTATTCCATAAAACTGTTTAATAAAAGTATTATTCAGCAATAATATTTGAGGTTTTACTTATTACTGATTATATTGGGAAAATACTTCTGCTTTGGTAATCTCAGAATGTGATTTGCCAGACAGATATATATGGATAAAGGGAGGAGTCAGAGTCCTGAGTACAAGGAACATGAATGATGTCCTTCCGTCTGCCACTGTTCCTCCTTTTTTTTCCAGGCTGTGCCAGCACGAACTATAGGAATGTAAACTCAGTCGGTCATTGGATTTTCTCTGAATTGACTGCACTTTTGGCTATCATCCTGTGCCAGATTAGCAGAGATCTTAGACCAATGACTGGCTGTACACTCAAATCAATGGAGTAAACTTACTGATGACCAGTCTACTGCCTCCTGCCCAGTTAGATGGAAGTCTACACTGTGAAGTCCAAACATATGTATTCTTTGTGTTCCCCAGGTTCAGGGTTAAGGACCACTATCCTGGGCCCTCTTCTTCTCTATTAGATTGATATACTTCATTCTAATAGCAAATCATTCTACTCAAATGGTCTTCTTGTGGGCCATGAGTATAATACGATAATTTTGTTTCTTATTTGTTTATTTCAGAGGCTTTTTACCTTAGCTCTCTTCTGAATTTTTCCTAAAACAATCTCCCCTATATTTGATGCTCTATATATTCAACTGAGTTGAACTTTCTTAAGGAGAGAAGAAAATGACAATGTGGGAATGACCCAAGTGTAAGAAGAATGAGAGAGTTAATAGGGGATGGAGATATAATACAGAACATGTAACAGAAACCTGTGGTAGTAGGAATGAACCAAAACAGTTAACCTCCAACCTCAACAGGAGATTCAGATATTGCCTGCAGACCAGAGTATGAGAGTGGTGGGTATGACACGGATTCTACTTCTGGAAGAATGTTCTAAACACCATGTGTCTAATCACTGAAACAACAAAATGGCACCAGAATCTCATCAAGGTCAAACTTGCATTGGCATTTATTTTCTAAACATTTTTTTCTGGCCAACTTGGCTTGGGGGTTCTTTGTTATATCCCTTCCAACTCTCCCTTCTCTGCAGTGAAAATTACCAATGACATAGATAGTTCAGGGATATCATGAGTATACTTTTCCTTTCCAAATTTGTTCTTTTCAAGTATTATTTTGGCTATTCTTAGTCCTTTGAGATTATATATCTCAAGGATGAAGTTTTCTATTTCTGCAAAAATGTTGAGATGTGATAAGGTTTGCATTGAATCTGTATTATCACTTTGGGTATTGATATCTTTCAGTCTATGCACATTGAATGTCTTACCATTTGTTTATGTCTTTAATTTCAGCATTGTTTTGTAGGTTTCATTGTGCAAGTCTTTCATCTCGACTCATTTCTAAGTATTTTATTCTTTTGATGTTGTATAAATGGAATTCTTTTATTTCCTTTTTGATTGTTTATCAAGGTATAGAAACATTGATTTTTATTTTTCTTTCTGCTTTTATTTTATTGTTTTTTCATTTACTTACATGTGTATATATTGTTTGTGCCACCCCTTCACCACACCACCCATCTCCCCAAATCCCACTTGCAGTTAGAACATGTTCTGCCCTCTTCTCTTGACTTTGTTGGAGAGAAAACATAAGAAATAATAAGAAAGACATAGTGTTTTTGCTAGTTTGGGATAAAGATAGCTATACAGAGAAATTCTTAGTGTTCCTTCCATGCACTTCTGTATTGCAACCCACATTGGTTCATTTCTACCAGATCTCTTTGCTACTTCTTGGTCCCCTTCCCATAGTGGCCTCTGCCAATTTAAGATTACTTTATTTGCTCCTCAACAGGGAGCACATCAACCACATTCAAGTTTTAGGTTTCCTGTCCTTTCCCTATTTCTCCCATGTGTGTTCTCCCCTTAATGTCTGATAATATTACTACATATGTTTTGGGTATATAACCCACATATGAGGGAGAATATATGATTTTTGGCCTTCTGAGACTTGCTAACTTTGCTTGAGATGATGTTCTCTAGTTCCATCCATTTACTTGCAAATGAAAAAGTTTCTTCTTTGTGGCTGACTAAAATTCCATTGTATATGAATACATTTTCTTGATCCATTCGTCAGATGTGGGGCATCTTGGCTGAGAAATACCAATTTTTATGTGTTGATTTTGTATTATGTCATTTTGCTGAATTCATTTATTCTAATGTATGTGTGTGCATAATTAGGATTTTCTACATGCTAGATTATGTCATCAGTGAACAGAGATAATTTAACTTCTTTCTTTCTGATTTGAATGCCTTTTAGCTCCATGCACTCTTATCCCAAGACTTGTCTGAGGGATTCTCTGTATTGTCTAACATCGTAGCAAAGACTCTTCATTGGAGAACACTATGCCTTTCACTATCCATTCTCTGGGACAGTGTCCTATGGTAAGCTCTGATGAAAACAGGATTATCCTTAAGAATTCTCAGTGCTCTACCTTCTCTCTTAGAAGAGATGTTCTTGTCCTCTCCTGCATGCCCCTCTTCTAACCTGCTACGATATCCAAATGTTGGTACAGTTACCATGTGCTGATGAAAGTATGTGGTCTGAGAATTTATTTCCTATAAGTTTGAAGTCCTCAGGGAGATCTTATTGACTGACCTCTGAACCTCCAGTGTTTAGCATGGTGTTAGGAAAGATAACGAATGTTCATGATGTGATGTACATAAACCCTTTGTAAATAAAAAGTACAGAATAATTATGTTTCTTTAGATGCAGTTATCCTTTTTCCTTAGACCCTCCCAGGCCTGAAAAGAAAAGCTGTTAAGGGACATTTTGTAACACTTCTTTAGGTATCTTTCATTCATGCTAATTCATCAGTTCCATGGTAGGCTGTAGGGCGAAGGACAGAGCTTCATGGTCACATCCTCTGCCTCTTGAAGTTAGTGCTTTCCAGAAGTATAAACCTGAGTCTATCCTATGGATACTAGGTCAGGTTCACAAGTTTACTGTAGGATAGGTTAACTCTCCCAGTCCTCTATCCTCAGCTCAGTGTGTTCCTTAAGGACTTGGCTGTTATAGGTATTTTTCAATCTCCCCACAAGCTTTCTAATCATAGCCTGAGGACCATTCTCTGCTTTATGCCCTTGGGCTACAAATATTACACTATTACTTTGTCCTTCAGTCTATGTTCTTATTCTCTAAACCTGCAGACACTCAGCTATGCATTCTCAAGGTGTAGACTAAGCACAATATTTATTTAACAAGGTGTAGACTAAGCACAATATTTATTTAACAAGCACACATACTAGGGATGAAGGTCTTACCTTAGCTGCAGTTTCTAATTTCCCCTTTAACATACAACTCAGTTCATCATGGACATACAGCAAATACTATAGTATGAAGAAACTTCAAACTTGGTTAAACAGTGAGGCAAGGCACAAGTGATTCAGTCATTTAAAATGAACCACTTTTAGATTCAGGTTATTCCGTAGACAATGAAAGAAAGGGTAGGCAAAAGTGTCATCTTCCTGGGCCCTTATCCCATACACTAAGCAGTACAACACCAAAACAGAAGGGGCTCATGACAGGATGACATACAAGTGGCTTTTTATAGTCTCAACCATACCTTGAGGGAGTCAGACAGAAAGCATATCTCCCCAGAACTTCTTAGATGCTGATAGCCTATCACATGACAGTGTGTCAGAGGACATAGGGAGTGAGTACTTTCTTCAAGGCAACTTTTCACAGGCTTCCCATTCTCAAATGTCACAGAATCAAAAGGCCTGCCAATGTTCTGATTAACTGCAATTCAAGCACCATAGTGGGACTGTTCCTCTATTGGACCTTGGAAAACTGAAGGAGGGGGAAAATGACAATAGCCTAATTTTAAGGATGAAGAAACTGAGATTTGAAAATAAGAAACTTGCCAGAGCTCCCACATCTTGGTGACAGAGGCACAATTATAAGTCTGGAGCCTCATTATTTGCAATTCAATACTCTGCACTGTGCCACACATCATAGAAAGTCAGGGGCCTGTGGAACAAACTGTGGGCCTACTACTTTTAGACAAAAAGTTGGAAGACACTTGCCCAGAAACCAATGATCACAGATTCTATAGGTTTACTCTTTACACTTGGTTTTCATCTCCAATAAAACTAAACCAAGAAACACATAAGTAATAATTAACATTAATCACATTTGCAATGTATTTAGCAATTATCAGTATACTGTTTGGTTGCCCTATCAGATAACTTCATGTGGAGAGGGCCTTTCTATTCACTTCATATCCCTAGTATTTGCACAAATCCTTGCCACATAGAACACTCAATAAATGCTTCAATAAATGAGTAAAAGCCACTATAGACTAATTTTTACCAATATTTCTTAGCTCCAAATATCTTCCACACTAAATCTTTACTGGACTGGATTGAAGCAATAAAATCATGAATTTAGAAAATACATTCCTGAAAGGCATATTTGGTACCACGTCAACCACTTAACTAAATATACAATAGTAGAATATTGAAAATCCAGATATGAATCTATACAGCTATGCCTAGTTAATTTATTTTTTACAAAGGTGCCCGAAAAACATATGATAGAGAAAAGGCAGCCTCTTCAACAAATGTTGCTGGGAAAACTGGTTATCTGCCTTCAGAAAACTGGAAATAGACCCATGTCTTGCACCCTGTACAAGTATCAACTCAAAGTGGATTAAGGACCTTAATATAGGATGTGGAACTTTGAAGCAAGTGCAGGAAAGAGCAGGAAATACTCTGGAATTAATAGGCATAGGCAATGATTTCGTAGATAGAACTCAAAATGGCTCAGCAACTAAGGGAAAGTATTGACAAATAGTACATGAAAGTAAAAAAAGCTTCTGCACAACAAAAGAAATGGCTTCTAAATTGAAGAGGCAGCCTGCAAAATGGGAGAGAATCTTTGCCAGCTATATATCTGACAAGGGATTAATAACCAGAATATACAGGGTGCTCAAAGAACTAAAATCCCCCAAAATCAATGACCCAATGAAAAAATTGGTAAATGAACTGAACAGAGCTTTTTCAAAGGAAGAAGTCTCAATAGCCAAAAATCATGTGAAGAATTGCCAACATTCTTGGCCATAAAGGAAACACAAATCAAAATCATGTTAAAAGTCCACTTCATTCCTGTTAGAATGACTACCCTCAAGAACACAAACAAGAAATGTGGGGAAAAAGGACCCCCATACCTTGCTGGTGGGAATGTAAATTAGTACAACCACTGTGGAAAACAGCATGGAAGCACCTCAAAAAACCTGAAAATAGAACTGCCATATGGTTCTGCTCCTAGGGATCTACCTAAAGGAATGTGAGTCAGGTTACAATAAAGACACCTGCACACCCATGTTTATGGCAGAATCATTCACAATAGCTAAGCTATGGAAGCAAAGATGCCCCACTACTGATGAATGTATCAAGAAATGTGGTATTTATATACAATAGAATTTTAATTCAGCCATAAAGAAGAATGAAATTTTGTTATTTGCAGGTAAATGGATGGAACTGGAAAATATCATCTTAAGTGAAGCTTAGACAGGTTCAGAAGGCCAAAAACCACATTTTCTCTCTTGTATGTGGAATATAGACCTAATACAAATACAGAAATATTGTGGCAAACAGATCACACTAAGAGGAGGTCACATACAAGTAAGCAAGGGTAAAAAAAGGAAGTTAAGAAGGTGATTATGGTTGATGTACTCTATACTAGAATGAATATAGAATTTTTAAACCTGTTGAAGTCACCATTACAAGGGTACTAAGGGAGAAAGAAGAAAAATATAGGAGATGAACTAATTTAAGTTATAATACATATATACATGGAGATGTCACAAGGAATCTCCCATGTATAGCTATCTTAAACAAACAAAAATGTTATTTTACTTTTACAAAATCACAGAACAGGTCTTGTTTGGAGGAGAGGTTGGTACCAGTGGTGGTGGGGGAAGATGTAGTGAGAGGGTGTAGGTGGGTGAACATGGTGCAAATACTGTGTACACATGTATGTAAATGGAAAATGATACCTGTTGAAACTACTCCAGGAATGGAGGGAGGGGGGACAAAGGAGAATGATGGGGGCGGTAAATTCAAGTGTGATGTATTTGATATAAGAACTTTTGTAAGTGCTACAATGTACTCCTACGCAGCACAAT